TTCTTGCTTGGCGCTTGAGTTCAAAAGCCGAAGCATAGAATAGGTTGGTTAAGTGTGCAGGTTGAACTATCAGGCTCTGCAAACCTTAGCTAGAACATAAGAGTTCAACACCACAGCACTGCCTGCCTGTCCTACGGTCGTAATCTTATTATCATCTATATATTTCAGCTGGACGAGGAAATTTAGGCTTAGAGATCCAGAGATCCAACCAGGTGTCTTTGGATCTGGAGTTGTGCCTATTTGCCGTTGGTCAAAGCCTTAATGAGGAATGAAGTCTACTATTGTTCTTCTTGGGATGGACATATGCGATCCATGCATCTAGGCGATTGCTCAAGGTAGAAGCTGATTAGATGCTGGTAAGAATGCCCGCACAGGTGCTTCGGTCATATATGATCCTACAGTTGGCGGAATGGCACAGTACAGTGCCACAGATGTGTATCATGTCGGATCAAGCTTACTGTACACGAAAAAAAGGGTTTGAACGTCCCAACGTTTCCCGCCAGTGCAAGTGCTTCCACGACGAGGGTACTTAAGCGAGGCATGATATGAGCAGGACCTGGGAGAGCTCTGTCGGGCCGAGATCGTTTCCTGATCTGACTTGGCACTAGACCAACGGACCGATTTTGCTCGTAGAACATACAGCATCTCAGCGATGTGAGTGACATTACCTGTGCCGTGCCATTGAACAATTGTGCACGCGTGTCGAACATAGGGACTTCATCTATTTTCTTCTGCAACCGGGTAGGTACAACGGCCATTGACGCGGTTCATACAGAAAGACTCTGAGACGATCCACACAAAATTGGGGATCTTGTTGCTCCTGCGAAAGAGATATCCAGCACTTGCCGTCTGTTGGACTACTACGATTACGGATACGTCAAGCAAACTCTGCAAGACGGTCCTATGTACGAATATACCTTGGCAATTGGTGGAGAAACACCTCTCGGAGCTATAATGTCGCATCTTTTTTATACAGCCTTATTGAGGTCGGAAAGACCAGTAGATCTTGTGTAACTCTGCAAATGACCGAAGCGAAACAGGTTGACGCGCAAGGAGTTCTCTAAACAATGTCCTTCAACCAACGAACCTTTGTTGAGCACAACCAGGACGTTCCTTGTTACCCGGTGAACCCCATCTGTTTTGGACATGCTGCGTAAATCCATTATTCGCATTGCACTCAAAACCAGAGAAAATAAAGAATGATGAGGTGTCTTGTCCTGATACAAATACATGAATCTGCTTCGGGTCCTACAGTATTGCCGATGTCGCTTTTAGTCTTCTTTGTCCTTTGAATCAGCATCCTCGGAGATTCATTGGAAGATGGCGCTTGTCACTCATTGTTGGCTGCTCCCGGCAACCAAGATTCTTTTCTCTTTTGTGTATCTGTTTGGCTGTCCGTACAGGTTCCGCTGCCTCTGAAAGCCAGCAGAAGTCGGATTCAATACAAAAGCTATCCATTAATGCGTGCAGTGTCCTTGCTGGTGCCTCAGGGTACACACAAGTGGGCATACGATACTGAATAATGAACTGACAGAGGCTTACACATGGTCTACACACTCATGAAGGGCTGTGAAGCTCACTTGGGCAGAGTACTCACTCCTTGTAGGGATGGCAGGCTTCTACGTTGAGGAGATTCTGACAACGAATCAGGTCTGACGGAATCGTCCCTACAATCGCAACGAATTCCATTTATCATTTGGCCGCTCTTCATCATCGACGATAAGCGCTGAGTCTGTGCCAGCAACGATTGAGTCGCGCACAGTCGATACAGTGCCCAGCATGACAATCGCCAGTAACGAGACTGAGTTCACTCCGCCTCAACAAGCTACCGAGGAACAACAGAGCCCACCGGTCTCGCATACATCACACAGCCAGAAAGCGACTCAAAGCTCAGAAACATCTTCTGATACAGTGATACTATCGAGGTAAATAGCTATCCTCATGTCTTAAAACTTACACAAGTTTGAAATCTGTACTTCGCCCAAGTCTGCACTTTGTTCGGAAAGTCAAACAGCAGATACTTCTACTTCATCCATGCCGTCAGCTACCTCGACTGCGTCTTATTGTGTTATAAAGTAAGTCCAGTGTACTACCATGCCTCTTTATGCAGCTAGCCATCAAGATGGTGTCATTTCTTTGCAGCCGCTTGCACCAGCCCACTTCTGGTTGAAGTCTACTTTCCGAGGAGTGAAACACACATATGTGAGATTCTCCTCTAGTGGGCCAGGTTCCGATGACTTCGTAAAGATGTTTTGCATTCAGCCCAGTAGGGCGCATGCGACCTTGAGTAACGCACAAACTAACATTTTCTGTCAGAGGAGGCGACCTAGGCTGAGGCATCTGTTGCTGCATTGGTCAAACGACGGTTCCTTATACACCGTCCAGTTGTCAGGTATTTAGCGATTATAACCACCGGTAATCCTCCAATCGAAGCGACTGAAGAATAATACTCCCGTGAACTCAATTGTAGTGGTACTGATACAGTACCCACGACAAGCGTGCTTTTTCGGAATATGCTACATCTCATGGGGTATCGCCAGCACCCCTGCCGTGGCGTACAGTTCTTTGGTGCTGGCAATGCTGGCAATCGGATAGAATCGACAACATAAACGTCGGTCATGTAAAGCAAGCTGGATTACTCAGGAGAATACTCTGGTGATAATGTTGAACGTTGACCTTGTCAGGTCGCATTGACTACTCTTCCCGGCTACACCACAACTGTGGTAGGCATATCTGATCGCAGCATACATTAATCCCTCGTCAGTCTCTCTAACTTCTCAGTCGACCAATTGACCACCTGTTCCCCACAACGTTACCTTCTCGGGCAAAGGACGAACAAGAAGAAAAGGTAGTACGAACGTGAACTCTGTGTAGTTAGATATGCTATCGCAGGGCTGCTAACAGTTCGCAGACTGATTGTCTCCACAGCTTACCCAGACATCCCTGGGCTCGTTCGTCTACTGAATCGACATGTTATGACGCCGACGCCAGTGAGATCTGGACAGAACCCCGGCGGCATCAAAAGCGGAATAAATCCGGGCAAATGGGGTTAAAGTCCTTTCAATTCGGTCAGATATGAACTTGAACTTTCGTCTACCATTAAGACTAGCCCATGACCATGAAGGAGCCTGGTACGCCACAGACCTGCTAAAAGTGAAACTCTCATCCTCGGCTAGCGTTCTGTGCCAACTTGACGTTTGCCATGTGAGTTGTCTCGCGAGATTGTATTGCCAGAGTCCAGCAAAGTAACCAGGCCCAAGAGCATAAGTGAATGAAGGATGAGAGGCGATGCCGGCCAGAGCATTTAATTTGTCACGCTCAAAGCTTGTAATCCTAATTGAGTATGCTGTGACGAGGCGCATCCAGCAACTTAGAGATTTTTCCTTATCAGCACAAGCCTCTTCTGGATCAAGAAGTAAAGAGTGCAGATTAAGGCTGTACTTTTCATCATTCGCATCATAACCTGCATCAAGGTCATGCGGAAAATACAAGGCATTGGCAAAGTTTTTTGCCCTCATGGCATGTCCACATCATAGTCCGTGTTGTAAATGTGAGCGTGCGATTGCTCAATAACTGCTCTTGCATAGTCCAAGCTCTTTTTGCAATGGGCTCAAGTCGCTCATCATAGCATGCGGCATCGAGTTTATTGATAGACATACGGCCAAAAATGTTGGGTTTGATCCGGAAGGGGATAGTATGAAGAATCTCCTGGTTTGCCCGAGGGTAGAGAAATCCTTTAGAGGCGCTCTCCGCAGCGGCAGCGACTATCGTCAGGGTTGAAGAAGCATATATATCTTTCATCCTTGTAATTTCTCTGGCTTTGTCCTCTTCAGAATCCTGGATTATACAGAGCGCGTCAACCCACAAGTATGGGATAGACAAGGTGCGAGTAATTGCTATTGCATCGCGGACGGTGGAAGGTAGGGTTTCTTCATCCAGATATTGAGCCAGTTGAACATAATTCGAGGTATTCAGAGTCACAAAAGCTTCTTTTCCCCAACAGTAGGACAGCGTGGCATAGAGCCACGTAGATTGTTAGATTCTAAGACTCGCGCATATTGCCGTCCTGGTGGATTGACTTCGATAACTCTTGTGGGTAAGATATTTTCCTGATGTGAAGTGCTACAGCACCTGTGCCCTTTACACTCTCTCAGCCATGTCCTGATTTGCGTCCTTGCTGCGCCACTATTAATGTCGGCCCTTAATGGCCTTGCAGTCACATAGCCTGAAGCCGGATCATCTGCTGTTGTACAAGCATGGAGGAGCAGAGCAGCACCTCCTCTCCACTTCCCCGTTGGAGAATGGCATGAGATGCTTAGGTAAAATACGTTGTTCCCTGTGGGTGTGCCTGACGGTATTACCGTTGGCGCAAAATATGTGGTAATCCGATCTTCTGGCATCCAGGCGTCGGAAATAAAACTCGTAACATAAGCACACCAGTTACAGAGAGTGCTTTTGATCTGACTGATGGTAGCAGTGGTTTCAATCCCTATTTCCTTGTAGTCGTAATTAGAATGAGTCCAAGTACAGCATTGCTCATAAGCCTCGGTGTCAAAGAAATTTTGCCAGCATCGATCGCATACATGGGTCGTCTGGGTATTCCAGCCCACAAATCTTGTCGGATCGGACCTGGGCATTTTCAAAGGTATAAGTTGACCCAAGTCTTCTCACCCCGCTCCATGGATACACATGAGGTTTAAAACCTTATAAGAATATTCGATAATCACGTGTTTCTGCCTAAAGGTCTGTTGGTTGCTGCCCCAATAGAGGAATTGAATGTCAAGCCCAATCAGGTTGACGAGAAGATGTACTATGCCAAGAGTGCGATAGAAGCAGGACAACTAGGGTCGGCGCTTACTGCATTGCCAAGATGGCTCAAGTGGGGTTGGCTGGGTACATATATGAAAACCACCTGCACCCCCTCATTTAACGACTTTCAACCTTTGCGGCTTGAGCTGAGCTGACTGTAGTGAAGATAAACATCATCACAAATTTTGGACATGGAAGCCCTCGGCGCCGCATCTGCCATCCTCTCGATCGCGACAGTTGGAGCCCAATGCTCCGTTAGGTTGATTTCATTTGCAGCGCAGGTCAAGACAGCATCCGAGCGAATTACCCGCATTGCAGAAGATGTCTCCTTAAACACAAGCATTCTACAGCAGGTGGGTGAGTTGATCAAGCAAAGCATTGATGGTGGTGAACTGCCCGACCGCTGGGAGAATGAAGGAGACCAAGAGCAGCATTCGATGGTCGCAGGAGAGGGTGCTAAGTCTACGGAAGCAAAGCAGGGTGTCTTCAATACTTCGGGATTGGAGACAACTATGAAGATAGCCACTAAATGCAAGGATATATTTAGCGGTCTGAATGAACGGTTACAGAACGCAAGTAGACAGCTGAGCAATGGATCGGGAAAGATCGTTCGCGTCAAGCTCACCCGAGTGGAGAGACTAAAGTGGCCATTTTTGCAGCCAGAGATAGATACAATGCGCGACGAGCTGAAGGACGCCAGGGGGACGTTGACGCTAATGTTTCAGGTTGCTATGCTGGCCTATTTGGGCAAGGCAATGCAAAGGTAGAGGGCATTTCTCACTCATAAGGGAAACTCGTTACTAACACCTAAGGAGACCCAACTGGCAACCCCAACACAATACAATGATCATTCCATACTCTCAAGAAGATCTAACATGGCTTAAGACATCGATCGTGGCCATTCGCAAAACGCAGACTCTTGAGACCGACCCACAAAAAGACAGCCTACCGACGAGAGTTGCTCCGTCTGAATTAGATACATGCCAGCTGCCAGATGCCCGCGCGACGACTGCGCATTGTAAACGCTCAGAGGCAATGTTGGAGACTAATGTACACAAATCAACATCGAATCCGAAAGCCGGAAAACGTTCTATATTTGACCCAATACCCGACCCAGGCGGAAAGTTGCTGTACAGCTCCTCTATTGACTTACCTAATTCACCCAAGTACTGACAATAATGTCACAGGAAACACTTCTCTACCTATCAAAGGCAAAATAAATGCACCCAGACTGAAACCATTTCCGAGCCAGCAGAGCCTTCATCAGAGAGTTTAACCATGCATATATTCACGCCACAAGCTTCGATTCAGGACAACGATATCCTAATTAACCACCGCCATCACACGATCAACCTTTCCCCGAAGGAGGTTAAATCCCAACTGGACGCATGGAAATCTTCTACGCCTTCTAGTATCTGTGAGCAGTTACAGGCCCTGACGTTCAAGGAGCGCTTTGCATTGGACATGAATAAGCTCATAGGTCACACCACACAGTATCCATTTTACAAGGCAAGATTAGAATGGATACATTTCGGCGAGTATGGTCCAATCATCCATGGTTTGGAGACGCCGAAGGCCAGAGCCTTGACCGTTATTACGAGCTCAGAGGCTTCACCTTTACCATCTCCTTCGAGATTTTTTCCTGATTGGAACTTTGACAAGCAGGACCGATCTCTGCCTTGTCCGCCACCAGGTAAAAGGCCAACATTGAAGGTGGCAATAGACGAGATGAATGATATGCCCCAAGCCCATACCCCAGAGTCAAAAGCTGCGAGCTCTGTTGTCTTACCGCCCCCATCACCCAAGATTGAAAGAGAGGAAGAAAAGGAAGAAGAAGAGGACCAAGATGACCGCTTATCGGAGAATGATTGGGAGGCAGAAGGTATTGTTCAGGGTCTCTTGGCAGCCTATACTACCTGATTGAGTTCGTACTTCTATGAAGTATGTGGTCGGGGAAGTATCGCGCGCGGTAGTGAGAGATGCTGATCATTGTTTGTTGTAAAGTTACCATTGTAAAAGAATAAGAGGCAAATGTATGGTAGATATTGACCACCGAACTATATGATATTATTTTGATTTCTTCACCGGCCATTGCTGGCGAGAATTGGGCCACCTAGGCTCGGGGGAAGCAAAGTATGAGCTCGGCCGACGTGGGTATTGCATCTGGCGTGGTTATATGTGGCAGAAGGAAGTCGCTCCGGGACAACGAAGGTGAAGGGAAAGCTGTATATTCGGGCAGGCAGGAACACACGTCGCGTAGGATGTTCGGTATTCCCAGCGGATTGGTGAAGCTCAGGGAAGGTATGACATGCCTTGGCTTGACTTAGAAGTGCTATTACTTGTGGTTGTTGCGTTTTCGAAAATCCTGTATGTAACCAGGTCTATAATGCTCAATAGATGCTTATAGATCTTAATTACAGCCATGCATTGTTCTTTTGCAGCATTTCAATGCTTTCCATTATACGCCAGTATTGCGTTACCTATGAGGACCTTGATGAAGTAATAAACTATCGGGCCGATTTTGAAAGATGTGCTGAGGTATAGTATATTTCCGTTGGACAGTCTAAATGGTAACAGTGGAAACTAGACCCTCTGCAGCCCAAGAGTAAGAATATATAGCTAACGATTCATTCAAAAGATCTTAAGGCGACCGCATGTCTAATGTGCTAAGAAATATACACTTATATGCCAAATATAACAGGTTAGCCCTACCTAACCTCAGCTAGATACAAAGTAAGATCCAATATATGGGAAACGACGGCCTGAAGCAAGCCCACACAGTGACAGAGTATGTAAATATTAAACAGGACCATCGTAGTTCCCAGTGCCAGATTTATTTCTCTATACGTCCGTACTACGATACCATGGCCAAACAAATGACAAGATTAGTCTCATCACTGGTTTTATCGTGGTGCTACCTGGACCTCTTGATCACAGGTTATCGTTCCTCCTTGGTTCTAATAAAATCGTCTACTATAGTTAGTAGATACTCGACTAGCTGACATGTTATACACTATACCCAAGTTCAAAACTAAAGATAGAGCCAACACCCCCTTTCTTCCATAACACATGCATCTAATCCGCGTCTCTATTGACAGATAGATACTACACTCTATATTTCCCAGAACGTTTTCGCTATAGTATATAAATTTTAGATTCAAAATAAGCTATAGAGCGCATACCCTCTTATAAGAACGCCGTCTTTATTTCCCACATACTTGTTCAGGTCAACCACAGTATCGTAGTAAAAACCATTAGACGACTTAGAGCATTTATGGTACACCAGAACGCTATCAACGATATACCAAAGGAACTACAAGGCAGGATGGCTCGGGATATATAAGGACACTCATTCATGTACTTAGTTTACTCTTCATGATCAATCCATCTTGTTACTACAGAGTTACCTTTGGTAGCAAGACTAGTTTCAACTCGTTCGTACTTCTAACTATTGGGTATACGTACTCAATAGGTCTGGCCCTTTGACTCGAGTCCAGTATCGACGGCAGTCTTGTGTTGACAGAAGCCCTGTATCGACTCCCGTCCTGCCCAGGCCACAACCCTTTAACAACGGAAATCAAAGAACGACTTCAGGTTGGTAACCTTTGATGCCTGGTCAACTAACTGGTCTAGGACTTGACGTCGAAGCCCCGGGCGTAACATTTATATAATATAACGATATTGAAGTATTAACTTGAGCAACATTAGGCTGTACATGAAAACCAGGCTAAAAAGCAAAGGTATTTTACTATACAGATTAATTTTGAACGAGGCACGTTAGTATCTGAAGCTGAATTCTTATAGAGCGCAGAAATCAGGCAGATTAAGCTAGACAGGGAGATAAGGTTTTACTTATTAAATCAGCCCCCAGGCGCGCCCCATCTAACTATTCTGGCTATGATATACAGGCCCATAAAATTGCACACTGCCTGAATCGGTAGAACCATTCAGTTTTATATAGGAACCAAAATTGATGATTTTCTGACTATTTAAATTTTGTTTATGGCGGTTGAGGTGCGGGCCGCTTACCGGCTACGCAGCAACCTATTGGCCGCGCAGAAGCTACACGCCGGGAGATTAGTAGTTGGGTGGGTGACCACCAGCGAATCCCTCCTGTTGTATGTTTTTGTTATATCTTTCTAACTTTTATCTCGTTCAGCCTTGTTTACCCAGATGCTCCCTGCGTTCAGCACTAAAATACAGGTAAACATACAGACAATGCTGTGAACATCCACCGGATTAGTCAGGTAGTCTATTAGCATCAGTTGAATGCGGGAGAGTTATAAGGATATACCATTGCGGAGGCAAGACCGATACTAGCAAAGAGATCAATATCGAGTGCACGGATCTGCTTTCTTTTAGGTAAATTTAGTAAATTAACAGTCCCTCCCGATCTGGCTAGTGCAACAATTACAAAGCGGGATGCTAACCATTAGTAGTTAGCCCGTCTACTAGCCCTAATGACTAAGCGGTTGGAATGCCCAATCTGGCTAGAGCAGGACGGGATCCTTCAGGAGATGGCGCATGCTTGGATCCGAACTCGTACGTTTTACACCTAGTCACTGAGTATATCTAAAGGGAGTGTGGAATGTTCCGAATGCCGCGTGGCACAGGTTGAATCGGATATATAAGTGTGGCCATGTAACATGTAGCTCCCAGGTACTTCATTCTATGGACCATCTCATTGCTCATTCTTTTTAATCCAATCTTTAATTCACTTTTAACAACTCATGGAATCGTCATCTTTTAAGGTTATTATTGTTGGTGGCGGCCCGGTTGGCTTGACTGCCGCCCACGCCCTTTGTCACGCCGGCATAGACTTTGTCGTCTTGGAGCAAAGGGAGTCCGTTGTCCTTGACCAGGGTGCCAGTTTGGTCCTTGCAGCACATAGTCTACGAGTAATGCACCAATTCGGTCTGCTGGACGAGCTGATGAAGGTTGGATGTGAGCTGCAGTGCCACCAGTCTTTTACTCGAGAAGGATATCGATTCTGCCATTCAGATACTTTCTCGATAATGAAGAAGAAGTAGTTCAAGATCTCTCTGGCTTTGATCTCTTCATACTAACGTGAATGTGGATTAGCCATGGATCAGCACCTGTAGCATTTCACCGGGCCAAGCTCGTAGAAATCCTCTACAATAGACTTCCGGCCAAAGCAAAAGAGCGGTATTTTCTAAATAAGAAGCTCACCGGAATCGAATCGGACGAGAAAGGCGTCAGCGTCATCTGTGCCGACGGCAGTACATACCGTGGATCGATGATCCTGGGAGCAGATGGTACGCATAGCAAAACCCGTCGGTTGATGCGAAGTTTGGCTATAGCGGAGAACCCCCAGCGTGACTGGGACGAGGAGAAACCCTTTCCGGCACAGTACAGATGCATGTGGTGTAGCTTTCCACGACCAGCAGAAATGGGCCAATTTTGCGAAACACAGTCCAAGGACCGCTCTGTTATGTTCATCACCGGTCAAGAGCGAGGCTGGATCTTCCTGTACGAGAAGCTACCTGTACCGACGAGCGAGCGTGTTGTTTACACCGATCAGGACATAGAAAGCTTTGCGCAGGAGTTCGCCGAGTATCCCATTTCGGGAACGTTGAAGGTAAAGGATGTCTATGCGAAGCGACTGACGGCAGGAATGGCCAATCTGGAAGAGGGAATTCTGAAGTACTGGAGCTGGGGACGAATTGCTCTCGCAGGCGACGCATGTCACAAGTACACCCCCAACGCTGGCCGTGGGCTGAATAACGGAATTCAGGATGTCGTGGTGCTGTGCAATAAGCTTCACGGTATGCTGAGGTCAAATTCTAGTTGTCCGATTGGTGTTGCTCATCTGCACAATGTCTTTGAGGAATACCAAAAGTCGAGGGAAGCCCCCTTGCGGGACGATGCTAAAGAATCGTTGTCCATATCACGTATGCACGCCTGGGCCAATGCTTTCTATTACATCATGGCTCGTTACATCATGCCATGTGAAATTATCCGGTGGTTCCTGTTCAACTTCGTTGCGGTGAGAGCTATGCGGAAGGGGTGTGTGCTAGATTATATTCCTGCAAGAGAGCCGCTGCAGGGGCTGGTCACATGGGAGCACCAGATGAAGAGTGACTTTAATGAGGCATGATAATTTGTTTTCGAATCTTTTGGATCCCAAGTATAGATTATTAGATTAAATTTCATCTTGCAATATATGAGGTGACATGGATATGTTTGATGTACCTGATTTAGCACCGTGCCGTGATCAAACATCGAGTATTTCGCTTCAGCTAGGCAAACGCATTGCTCCCTCGGTATAATATGGCACATTTCGCAAGACGCTGTAACTCAGATATAAAGTCCTTCAATAACTTCCCATCTTGAAATGAACCTAGAAATTCTTGAGTGTCCGCTAATACACGAAAACGCTCTGCAACTGTTTCGAGGAGAGCGAGATCGTCGTTAGCTTTTGGCCCTTCCGGACTCCTAAGTATGCTACAGAAGACTGTCATCACAGGGGATAGGATGTAGAAAACCCTATATTTGAACAAATATGAGACAGGAATAGAAATGCACAATGTTAAGAATAACATACCAGAATGAGTCCCTCTGAACCCAATCCAGAACCTCGAGAAACTCGCGGAGAAGAGAGCGGCTAGCATTCATGGCAACCTCCAGGCTCAGGTTTATCCCTACCAGTCGCCAAGTTTGGTCTTCCATCCATGCTGCGCATCCGGTACTCATTTGATGAATAGCAGCAATGCAGCAATAGCGCTGCAAACGGATAAACGTGGAGCGATGAGCTACCTCTTCATGTGAAGCTAACCCTCGAGAGAGAAGCAGGTCAAATGTGTGTTGCAGTTGCAGGCGGTTATACCATTCATCCATAGCATCATCAAGCTCTCGGATGGCTTTCAGCAGCTCTGCATCTAACATTTGTAGCGCTCTAGGTGAATAAAGGCTTGTATATATTTTTGATTGGTTGAGACTGAGGCCGAGGTCGGTAGGAAACAGAAGGAGTAGAGTGTCTCCTTCAATTTGGGAAACGGGAAGGTCGAATTCTATGGCGATCTCCTCCTTACTCGGAAACGTCAAATCACAGTAATCATCGCATATCGATGGAGGGCGAGTCGTCCGTGTAGACATCTCTTTATCGAACACATAGGCCAGCCAGAATAGAAATCTACAGTGTACGTTGAATACATTCTTATTGTGTAAAATGTGTTTGTACTGGTTTCCTCGCAAAGTGAAGATGAAACGTGTAGCAGCAGAGAACAACACTTCAATGAAGGAGGTATCGCCGAATCGCAGAGAACGGTCGAGAGTCTGGACAGTTTTAGCAAACTGAGTGCTTAGAGGTATCATCGTAAAGATCGCTATACATAGAGCGCATGAAATCGTGATTGAAGATAGAGCGAAGAAAGTAGCTGCGTGGGGATTACTTACAATCATGAGGAGCGTTTGTATTCCATCCAAGGTGGCTGTACTATCAAAGATTTTCGAGAGAAGATATTGTGCTTCATGACCATACTTCTGACCGTCGATATTCATGGGTGGTTTCGTCATGCTTGAAGATGAGCTCATAAATGCCATGAAGGCAAAGACACAGGCTGTGGCACTTGGGATATGAGGCGAATAAATTGACTGCTGATGATCGTATGCTGCCTTTACCGTATACTCAAAAAGAGTAGGGTGGATGAAAGGAAACCAACGGTTTGCAAAGGATGACCTATAGTGAGTAACAAAAGAGAAGAGTACATTCCGGTCAGGAAGGTCGAGGTGACAGTGACTCTTGAAGAACTGTTCAGTAGCCTCAAAGCCGTAGTGTTGTGGGCGTTGCCAAGGCAGACCGAGTGAGCAGAATCGATCAAAATTGATCCTTTCGCCTGTGCACGATGCCATCCATCGCTGACTCTCCAAAGAAAAGAACGAGTCTCCATTGAAAGCACGAAGATGACTGGGAACATGGCCTGCAAAGTAAAACTCTCGAGATGCCACTCCTTGCTGTGGCAAGGCCACTGGAGCTGTCGCCATGGTATCTGTCTGCCCTCCGTTAGATTCGTAGTTGCTGGAGTGAAGTGCATTGGCTCACTGTATCTTTGCATTGGGCGGGTGCACTCCAAGTGTCAGTGTGATTATGGGGACTACTCTCACCCAATATGAATACCGACCTGTCAGAGAAGTTAATGATTGGATAATCTTATATTTCACCTAAGAGATATCCTACGTCAGCTCGGCCGGCAGAGGCTTTCGAGTCAAGCGATGGCCTCGATCGAATGTGCATGGTATGCTACGCTCTGAGCACCATTCGCATGGGTACCTTTCTCGGTGGCATTTGATCTAAGAAGCGTCAGACTTCGGATGCGAGACTGCCCAAACCATAGCCACCTTTTTATGGAAGCATGAGTCGCATGCCACGGCAGTGCGTTTGCGAGACTGAATTTCATCTATACTGCTGTTCTCCATTGTGCATGGCCGTAGTAAATATCAACTTAGGTAATCGGCGATCGTCTGGTGGTTTGACTGAAGGTGGGTTTTCTTGAAGCTTTGCGGTGCTCGAGTCTTGACATCGTGTCCTGCATGCTTACTAATCCCTCTATATCCCAGGGAAATCACCAATAATCATTTATCGCATATTATATACATCATCTTCTAGTTAATAATGTGCTAATGCTATACTCCCATTGAGTGGAATGGCAGTGGTATTACTGGAAACTGTGATCAATATGCCAACAGGCAAACCGCTTTCTATCAGGGTCCTATCCTGGCTAAATCGGTTTAGTATTGACGCGAGAAAAAAGAACTGAATGTACATCATGACAGTCTTCAGTGCGACATCATGAAGTCGGCACGCTGTGGATAGTGAGATTAGAATGAGGATAGCCCTATAATTTATTTAGGATTCAGCCATGATTCATTACCAGGCAGAGCACCTCACCAAACATACCCACCATTTCCGACAGTGCTGCAAATGGCGAGGACAGAATACACCGTGACATAGAGTGCCCTTTGGCCTCCGCATGGTGAGCCTTTTGCTCAAGCTAAATTTCTAATAGAAAATCTATGTCAGTGATATCGGGAGTAGCACAATTAAGAATCCACATAGGGCTGTAAGCGCTAGAGAAGATATTCAGAGTCACGAAGAAGACAAATATCACAGCGTTCGTCCACCCAACGTAGCACAAATAATATGTATAGACAGCAGAACCCCCTGTTGCCCGCCTGAGATCGTTCATCTCATTCGCCTCGGAGGTCATGGCGGCTTTGTCCTCTATCACCAACTCTGTGAATCCATTCGACCCGTCAGCTTCCACGGCATCAGATCCCATTCTTTGATAGACATTCCCCCTGCATGGCTCTTCCTGACGAAGATGCCTATCTGAGAGAACTTAAACCTGATCCGTACCATATAGCTGCTCCACTACCAGTGTGTGAGCCCGTAATAGGCGACAAAGGAATCTTAAACGGGTCCTACTCTCATATGTCACTAAAGATATAGTCGAATTTGCTTTTCGGAGCAGTTCATTGACTACCAAAAGATGCGATATTATAGTAATCTTAGTCTTCCGATCCAACGCATTTGACCACTGCTCAGCACATAGCCGGATCCGTGTCCAATTTACATAGCGTCTCCCTCGTGAAGCCAAGCCAGGTCCAAATTGAGAGCGCCCGTCTCTTTTTATGTGGGAGGACCAGAGCTTGAGCATTGCTTAAATATATTATACTTGAACTACATACTACTGAATATTTTACTATTCATAATAGTATATATTGTGTAGATCAAGTGTTACCCTCTAGAAAATCAATTCGATTTATCAATAACAAGTGCTTTGGACTTGCATGCCTGATGGGACCACCAATTTTACATTCGAGGGTTTGCTCACACGCCATGGTTTGACTTGCTTGAAAGTTCTCCGGAATAACATCATTTTACCTAGACATAAAAAGAATAAGATACC